TTGCCATTCTTGAAGATCCTTGTCTCTTTTTGAATGTTCAATGAACCTGGACCATTATGATGTATCTTGCACGAAACTATGGGCCTTCTAATAGATCAAATCAAACCCAAATGTCATGGCCCATTATTCTTTGTATTTTTATTTAACTTATTTGATTTAATTCATATTTAAATGAATAAAAATTCAAAAAAATAGAAATAAAAATAAAAATAGTGCATGGTTATGTTTACAGGTCCTTGGGTATGTCATAAACATTTTTTAATCCTAAAAGTTATGTCCATTAACCTAAAAATGCAATTTTGCTCAAAGTTGACTTCATGCATTTTTCACAAATTTGCCCAACTTGTGCAAAACATAACTTTCTCAATTTTGATCTTTTGAAGATGATATTGGACTTTTTGGAAAGCCCAATATGTCCTATATAATCTCTATGTTGATAATTTTTGCTTTTGAAGACATTATCTTGATAAAAAGTGTATTTTGTTCTTTTTTGAAAATGACCTGTAATGTATGAGCTCGTATCTTTCAAATAGTGCATCTCTTGATCTTGAGGACAAAAGAGAAGTTATAAGTAATGAGATAACTTTAGAATGAGATTTGGTTGGGAAAAATGGATGAAGTATGTGAAAGTTATGTCTGGTCAAAGTTCAGTTGACTTTTCCTATAGAAACCCTAATTTGGCAATTTTGACTTTTGATAGATTAGGAGCATTTCTTGAGGAATCATGATAACCCCTTGATCAAATGATGGATATCACTTTAAAAGGTTATTATTAACCAAAAATCTTGAATTTTTACCGCACATGGGTCACAGTTGACTTTTGACCTAACACAGTTGGTTTTCAAGCATTTGAGCAATTGACTGAGCAAACTTGTAGTGCAAGGTATGAAATTTGTCATGGATAATATTAAAGACATATTAGGAACATGGAATACATTTGAGACCTTTGGAGCTCACACATCTTGGTGAAAAGTGAAACCCTAGTTGGAAGGCCAATGCTTATGAGGAGAATTTGTCTGATCAATTCTTGGTCAACCTTGAGCAATTGAGGACCTCTAGAAGCATGTCTTGAGTGAAAATGGGAGGGAAAATTTTGGGTTAAAACACATAATATGCGATTCAAATGATTATTTATTTTGATAGTTTTTCAAGGAACTTTAAAACCATGATAACTTGCAAACATCAATGGTAAAGAACTTTGGAACAATAAAACTTATTTCATTAATAAAAGGCAGAAAATTACAACTTTGGAACATAAAAGCCCTTTAAAGATTTTTACAAAATTGCATAAGTAATAAAATCTAGGGAATATGATCATTCAGAATCATTATCGGACGAAGGACCAAATGTTACTTCTAACTTAAGTTTCCTAATCTTCTTTTCATAGAAGTATTCCATCTCTGTCTTCTCGGCTATCAGCCGATCAACAACTTTCTTCCATGGATTAGAAACAGGAGTAACGTCTATCAAATCTTCCTTCTTTATATTATTTTCCTTAGCATATTTATTGAGCAATGTATCTTTCTGACGGAGCTTCTCACCGCGATCAATAAACCAACCGTCTTGAATAAATAGCATATCCTCCTTCTCTTTCAGTTGTCTAGTTAGGACCCTGTTTTCGTATTCTGATATACTATATTTTTATTTCCAAACATCTCTTTCAAACTCCATTCTAGCTAGATTTTCCTGATACTCTTTCATGTTCTCAATAGGAATGGCAGTAGATGATAGTGTAGCAACAGGGAATAAGGGTTTCTTAGGATAATAAGGCATCTTGAGACCACAAGCCCTAGCACGAATCCATTAAAGGTAGGGCTACAAAGAAACAACACCTATCCTCCCTAATATATCTCTTCCCTTTCTATGGACATGGTGCCAAGCCCTTTCAATCTCCTCCTTAGCTTCTTTGTTACCTTTTCCTTCTTGGAGAAAGAAACCACTCAGATGAATGCTATTTGGCTTGTCTTTCATTGGGTATCCAAATTGGCGATGCATAAGAACAGGATTGTAGTAAATTACTCCCTTCGTACCAAGAAGAGGCACATTGGGAAAAGCACCACAACCATCAATGATCTTTACATCATAATAAGTTTGATCATACCAATCAATGTCGGAATGAGTAAGATCCATAATTTTTGGCGCCCATCATGGATCCTTCTTGAGATCCTAAAAAACATCAGACCTAGGTAAATGGGAAACATACCACTGGTATAACAATGGTGTATAACATATAATCATCCCACCTTGGTAGGAATTCCGAAGATGGATGGAATAGAAGGTATCTCCTAGCAGCATAGGGACTGGATTTCCAATCAAAAATATTCTAATGGCGTTGACATCCACGAAATTATCGATGTTAGGGAACAAGAATAAACCATAAGCAAGCAAAGCAAAGACAGCTTCAAAGGAAACAATATCTTTTATCTCGGCGAAGTAACAAGCTTTCTTCAACAAAAACTGTGCAGGAAAACCTCAGATTCCTCCCTTGGTAGTCATGTTATCTTCTATCTCAGACTTCCTCAAGTGGGTAACTATTTTTATCTCATGACACTTGGGTTCCACTTCTAAAGCGGAGAAAGGAACACAGTCGATGATTGGTAAACCAAGTATATAAGAATACTCTTCAAAAGTGGGCATCAATTGGTAATCAGGAAAAATGAAGCATCGATATAACGGATCATAGAATTGGACCAACATAGTAAGGATTCCCTCCTTCATCTTGCGCTTCATAAGAGGAATAATAGATCCATACTTCTTTCGGAATCCATAAGGTTCTCAATCTTGGGAATCAAACTCTTAAACTCTCCAATCTCAGGATCCTTGAAACTGTAACTCCGAGTGTTCCTTTTTCCAAAATCCATGGTAAAAGTACCTGAGATGTCTGCAAAAACAATTCATAAGTTCCTTGAAAATCATGTTTAAAGAATGCTTATGGATGCATGAATGAATTATAATGCAACAATTACACATAAGCTCACAAACATGGGTGTTCAAAGGTTCAACGCTACGAGCATGGAGTCAAAGATAAAAACCACCCCAAGGTATGTACTAAAGGTTTAATCACACCTGTAAAACAAGGTTCTAAAAGTTCCCAGAGTCTACGTTCCTTCTTCGGATATTACCAACGTCCCGATTACTCGGTAATTAGCAATATTCTTAAGAGAAACTCGTCTGAATGCAGCATCGCATGACAACTACTTCCAGATTACTCCGTTATAGTGTCCTCACTACACCTAAGAGGCCAAGGTGGGTAAGGGTTCTACGGTTCTCAGCTTCTCTGGATCCCAGGTCAAGAGCAGTAACATCTTCCCAATTACTCGGTAAACGAATACTACAATCAAAGGGGCCTCCACTGAGTGGGGAATTTTATGTCTCCTTCTTCATGATTACTCCCTCAAAGTTAACATGACTATACTGCATGTCCTATTATTAAGTGTAACTTAGTCCGGGTATAGGACTTGTCCTTTGTAAGTATCATCAACACCCAAATAACCACAATATATAACATATAAACACACAAACAAACAAACAAATAAAAACAGATATGACAAATTAGGCTTAACCCACTTAGGAATGGACCAATAAGAGGTCAATCTTTCCCCAGCAGAGTCGCTAATTCTGTAGCAATAAAAAATGTAGCGGTGTAAATCGAAGACCGAGCTATTAATTAACTTGACTTGCAAAAGCAAGAGTCGCCATCGCGCTTTATTATTTCCAAGGGAAAAGAGAAAAGAGAGAAATAAAACCCTTAAATATGCAATGTAAAGTAATACTTAAAAGTAATGAAAATATAATGTGTTTTTGAAAGAGATCGAATGTTCGGGGGTTAGTTATACAAAGGGAAGGTACTAGCACTCAATGCATCTGCGGTACTCCGCAGGAACCTTTTGAAATATCTACTTTTTGGTTAAAATTGTTTGTTTGGCTAAATGGGTGTGAATGAGACTTTGAAGATACAACGACCTAGTTTCGAAGTTTTTACTTAAAAGGTGTGAGTTTTTAAATTGAGTCTTTTAGGAAAGTTAACTTAAGATTAACAAAAATAATAAAACAAAAATGAATGAAGGGATTCACACAATCATATAAGATGTATTTGATGACATGAAATCAACAAAGTTAAAACATTTTCTTTGGAATTTAGACAAACGAAAGATATAAAGATTAAAAGATCGAGAATAAAGTTAATTAGAATGACATTTGAACAATTAAATAAATAACAAAAATTAAATAGAAGACTAATTTATACTAGCATGTATTTTTGAATAATTAAATAAATAACAAAATTAAATAAGAGATTAATTTATACTAGCATGTATTTTTGTATTTTAATAAATTACCAAAATTAAATAAAAGACTAATTTAATAGCATGTATTTTTGTATTTTATAATGGCAAGAAATATATATATATATATATATATATATATATATATATATATATATATATATATATATAATATTGTGTTATCATATTTTTTTAATAAAAATGGGAAATGAGGCTAAACGAACTAAAAACGAAATGAAATGTCCTAGCGAGGGGTTACACTCATGTCTTTTTGGCCTTCCGTGGTATGCCTTGCCACTGAGCTATTGTTATTTTCTTGTTATATGTATATCTTAATTAAACTAAAAATGGAACTTTAAAACGTAACTGGGCTGAAAGGCCCAAAGGGCCAACTCGGTCTGGGAAAGGTGATGTCAAAGTCTTGGGAAACCCTAAACAACAGGGAGGCGCCGCTTGTTATCAACATTGGGAAAGGAAAGAAAATCATAATTGTTATTAATTCCCAATCTAATTTGGTTTACAATAACGTTATCTTCTTCCATCACGTGAAAACAAACTCAGGCTTACCCTTCTTCTCACGATAATATTCCCTCTACTTCTCAACCTTTCTCATCTCTCACTCTCTCTTGCTAACCAATTATACTTCTTCTATTTTCTCTCGTCTTTTCAACAACACGATCTTCTGTTGATCTCTTATTTCATCCTCAAAAATCAAGCATGCACAAACACACAAATACCCTAAGCCCTAAATCAAACCCAAAATCCCATTTTTATTCACAGATTACAAGATGGTTACAAGTGGGACATGAAATAGAATTTGCAAACAGAAACGAAAAGGGAAAAAACTCAGGTACGGTACTCCAATTGATACTCTTTCGTGATTCTTCATCCAAAATTTCCTGAATGTCTTTGAAATGAGATACGCACGGATTTGACAGAACCGGAGGGAGCAGAACGAAGCTCACAGTTGAACATTTTCTATTGGCGATGTTAGACGGATGTATCGGGTATTCTTCTATGTATTTCTAAGTAGAGCAGAAGGTGGGTGAATCAGATATATGGTTGTTAGTGCAAAGGTGAATGGTATTAGGCTATTTGGGTGTTGGAGAGAACCCGAAGATGATTTATGTGCCTGGAAATTGCGGATGGAGGTTCACGGTTGTAGAAGATGAAGATTTACATGACCAGTAGGTGAGTTTCAAATACGGTGATGAATCGGTGTGGTTTGTGGTTGTGAATAGGATGGAGATAATGCTCTGTGATAGATGAAGGGAGTTGAATGGAAGAAGGGCGTTTGAAGCATATTTGTTGAGTTTTCTTTGTATTTTTGTTGAAAATAAATATGTGACCTTTGACATTGCTTAAGTTATTTCCTTTTAATTGTTTTTAGGAACATGGCTGATGAAAAAGGTTTGAGGGTGTTGCTGCGGTTTCGGGAGGTTAATAGTGTTAACAAAAAACTATTGAGGGATTTTCATAAACCACGGGTTAGGGAAATTTCTTTGTCTTTCTCATGTTTTTGTAACAAACCAGAAAAATTATATCTTTATAAATTAAAAAAAATGACAACAGTAATTATCAATTCTTATGCAGGCGCAAGTTTTTATTTGGACATGTGAGAAATTTATTCAATGCTTTTTGGGACAGCTTTTGATGCTTGCCATTTTAATACAATTTTAGTATTGTTTTTCTTGGTATTTCTATGCAGGTTGGAGAAGGGCAGCAGGCTGTATAGAATACTGTTTTAGGCTGATTTTGGGACCATTGCAGGCTGCTATTTTTAGACTGGTTTATAGGGGGCTGCAGCATGATATTAGGCTGATTTGAACTGTTGGACATTAAGGTTTATTGGAGCAAAATTTGATGCTTTAAAATTAACAATAGGTCTAGAATTTAACTCTTTATGTAACATGAATGAAAACTTGTCTTGAATATAATTTTATCTCAATTCCTTTGTAATTGTAAACACTTTGGATCATTTGAAACTTTAAATCTTTATATTCGTCTTGATGAAATTCGAAATCTTCCACTTGAATTTGGAAAGGGTTTTATTGATACTTGAATGAATTTTTGAATAATGAACGAGCAATGATGCACACCTTAAGACCTCAATCTTGCATCTTGTATTCGTTATTAGAGATCCAAATGAATTACATGAATTAATCTTGTAATGAAGTTGTAACCATCATGTATTTATTCTTGTGATGAATGATTATTTGAATAAAGTTTATCTTTTCAATATCTTCTTTAATAAATGCCTCGTGTGAATTCAAATGGCCTTGGTGTGAATTTATCAAAGTAATCATACAAAACGGTCAATAATGACTTTGAAATATCGTGCCCTTGAAAATAATCTTGAATAAATGCAATGTGAGGAATGATTTGAATCTTGAATGAGCCCTTTTGATAAATTCTATTTGGTTAACACTTGAATTCATATGATGAAAACTCCAAATATTCTAAATAACTCTTCCAAAGAAATCTTGAATTCGATCGCCCCACTCTAACAAAATTCACCCGCGTCATGTAAGTAAAAGAAATCAACCATACTTAAAAGCTTCAAATGACCACTAGAAAAGGGATTTGAGGCGAAGTTTTAACGCATTGAGAATTTGGCATAATGAACTGAACTTAGAGATCCAGAAACTCTTAAATCATGACAAACATCCTATAAAGGCTTTTCATGGCTTTCTAAACACAATTCATCTTCAACTTTTAAAGAAAACTTGCAGATGACTTTTGGTCGAAGTTCTTTGAATTGACTTGCATAGCATAATTTTTTATTTTATTTCAAGGCAAGGTGAAACTCACGTGAGCCAGTGGTAACGGAACCTTGATTGTTTTTTTTGTGAAGAATTTTGGAGAATCTTGAGGCCACTTGTTGAACAGAGCATGGAAATAAACACACGATTCTCTGAAAGTTCCCTGAAACAAGCTATCACACTTGGGACATCCATGATCAAAATGAGCTTGAACGATGTTTGAGACTCTATGCTCTGAGATTAGAAGTTGTGCCTTGATGACCCAGTCTTCTAGAATCAATGATCAACTGTACTTCTGGCTTGAGAGACTCAAAACCCTAATTGAGGTGTGACGCCTGATGCTCTTGATTCAGATAAGTTTCTTCACATGAAACCAAAGAAACAAAATACATACACTTCGTGCTGATTAGAAGTTAGTCATGCATAAGATAAAACATTCACAACACTCGATAATCTCTGCACAGGCAATGCTCAAAGATGAGAAGTTCGAAACCAGTCATATTTCATGACCTTGATGTACATAAAAAAAATGCAAATGAAGATGAGATCTTAGGTCAAAAATTGGGGTATGACAGTACTCTGTTAAGACCATTTTCCATCAGGTTATTCTTTTGGAGAGAGCGGGATTCTCGAATATATACTTTATGGGATCCATTTTAGAGATCAACAAAGTAGGATGGGTCAACATATACTGTCTTAGTTGGTGATCAGCCCATTCCAAAGCGCGACAAGTTTTCTCGAGCAGTGAGTATCTTATTTCACAGTCGGTAAACTTTTTGCTAAGGTAGTAAATTGCATGCTCTTTTCGACCAGACTCGTCATGTTGGCCCAATACACACCCCATTGAGTTCTCTAATACTGTTAAGTACATGATCAGAGGTCTTCCTTTAACTAGTGGCATTAGAATCAGAGGTTCTTGTAGGTACTCCTTGATTTTTTCAAAGGCTATTTGGAAGTCATCGTTCCACTTCACTAACTGATCTTTCTTCAGCAACTTGAAGATCGACTCACAAGTAGCGGTCAAATGGGAAATAAACCTGGAAATATAATTTAGTCGTCCCAAGAAACCTCTGACTTCCTTCTCGGTACGGGGACCGGAAATTCTTGAATAGTTTTAACCTTGGCAGGATCAACTTCAATACCTTTTCCACTGACAATGAAACCTAGGAGTTTACAGGACCTTACCCCGAAGGTGCACTTGTTTGGATCCAACCTTATCTTGTACTTCTTCAGTATCTCAAACAGTTTGTGTAAGTGGTCAAGATGTTCTTATTTAGTCTGAGACCTGGCTATCATGTCGTCAATATAAACCTCTATCTCGTGATGAATCATGTCATGGAACAACACTACCATGGCACGCTGATATGTTGCTCCGACATTCTTCAACCCAAAAGGCATGACCTTGTAGCAGAAAGTGCCCCACTGTGTAACAAAAGTAGTATTCTCCATGTCTTCGGGTGCCATCTTGATCTGATTATACCTTGAGAATCCATCCATGAAGGAGAATACTTTATGCTGAGCGGTGTTGTCGAACAGAACATCAATATATGGAAGCAGAAAGTCATCCTTGGGGATTGCCCTAATCAGATCCCTGTAATCTACACGCATACGCACCTTGTCATCCTTCTTAGGCACTGGCACCATATTTGCAACCCATGGAGGATATGATGTAACTTCAAAGAAACATACGTCGAATTACTTCATAACCTCATCCTTGATCTTTTCTGAAATCTCCGGACGCATATGACGAACTTTCTACTTTATTGGAGAACAACCCTCTTTCATCGGTAGACTGTGAACCATAATATCAGTATCGAGTCCTGACATGTCTTCGTACGACCAAGCAAATATCTCAACATATTCATGAAATATCTAGATTAGCCTGTTCTTGACACTGTCCTCCAGGTTGGCACCTATCTTGACTTCTTTCATGTCTGCTTCAGTACCCAAGTTTACAACCTCGACAGACTTTTCATGCGGTTGTATAGCCATTTCCTTTTGCACTAACAGTCTGGCAAGCTCTCCAGGTGTTTCATAATTTTCCTCACCTTCGTCCTCGGCTTGGTAGATCGGATTTTCAAAGTCATAAGTGACAAAAGCATAATCATTATCAACGGGATCCATAGTGGATATGGATCTGCAATTTATTGTGTGATGTGTGTAAGAATACATATCTATTTGAAAGCGATAAAAAGAAAGACAAAGAGCGCAAAATTTGAACGCAAAACATCCAATTATTTTATTGAACGAAAATATGCTTATGAAATGATAACCCTAACAAATGAACCATTGTGCCCCGGGTAAGACACAAGGGTTAAAGTTATTGTTTAAAATTACATAACCAAAATTTTTGAAAATAATAAACAGGAAATATCAATTACTCCTGACTAAAGGAGATTGGGATAAGGTCTTCAGTATTCTAGTTTCTAAGCCCGTTGTCGATGGTAAGAAAGATCCAACTGTCGAGGTCTTAATCATTGTCAGCATCTTCTATAGCATTGACTCCATTGTTGCTGACACGAAATAGTGGTCTTCCAGCACGCACACGACGAACAACCATCTGAGCCTCTGCAGTAAAACCCAAACCAAATTTTTCAGATTTATACGAGATGTCAAAAAGCTGACCCCAAGTAGTTCAACCACCTTCTTCTACTACAGCCCTAACATCCTTTAACGAAGCCATTCTTGGTGGGACCCTGGTGACTTTGGGAATAGCATAAATGTCTTCAGTAGAGGTATGAGGGATAACTTCAAAAGTCTGGCAGGGAGTTTCAATGAATTCACCGTCCATCTCAACATACATGAATGAGTTTAAGTGACTCACCATATACTCTTCTTCACCATAGACTGTAACAAGCTTTCCTTTCACGGGATATTTTAGCTTTTGATGCAACATGGAGGTAACAGTGTCTGCCTCGTAAATCCAGGAGTGTCTGAGTAAACAAGAATAATCTGGTCAGATATCCATCACATAAAAGGTAGAATTGAAAACCTGTGAACCCATATTAATTGGGAGATCCACCTCTCTGTATACCATCCTTTTTGACCCGTCAAAGGCTCAGACTATAATATCACTGAGTTTCAGCATAACCCCTTCATAATCAATCCTGTCCAGAACACCCTTCGGTAGAACATTCAGTGAGGAACCCGTATAAACCAATACATGCGCTAAAGTAGTGCCCCTGCATTCAGTCGAGACATATAGGGACTTATTGTGTTTCTTTCCTTCTGGGGTCAATTCGGCATCAGAAAAGCCTAGCCCATTGTTAGTAATTAGGCTAGAAACATAACTTCCAAATTGATTGGCGGAGATTTCTTGTGGCATATGAGCAGACTTCAAGAATTTCACTAAAGCCTGAGCATGAGTCTTAGAACACAGTAAAAGGGATAACATGGAGATCTTAGAAGGGGTATGCCCCAGCTGTTCAACAATCTTGTAATTGCTTTTGCGGATAACCTTTAATACCTCATCCAACTCTTTCCTAGAGGTATCTTCAATTGTAGCTTCCTTCGGGTAACTCGAACAGGTGTGGCAGCAGTCTTTGGAGAGATTTCCGGGGAGAAAATCCTTCAGCTTCTAGTAACCTTACTGGTCCCAGCAATATTGTCAATGTTGGAATTACTAACTTTAGTGTCTTCATGCTCAATAGTTGATAGTTCTTGTTTGACGCCATGGTAGTAGACGTCGGCTCCATAATTCCACGGGATAGCTTTGTTCGAGGAATATGGAATTGGTCTGGGTGTGGTAATTATCAGAGGAGAAGCTTTGGGTTTGGCAATGATCCTTACAGGACCCTTGGAAGTGATTCTGATAGGAGTGTCAGATATTACAGATACCTCTTCCAGTTCCAAGTCTTGCAACAAATTCTCAACAAACAGAATCTTCTTAACCAGAATTAGGTGATTGTCCATTAGACACTGAATACCTTCTTCCAGTAACTTGCAGACATTGGGTTGGGTTGCGCAGCAGTAACATCTTTCAATAC